CCCTCCCTCTTTTATGATGCCAGGACTTGTGGACATGCAGTGAAGCTGAATGTTGGAGAACACATCTTCATGCAGCGCATAGTTAAACTGTGGTCCTTGCTCCTACAGGAGGCAGTGATGGCCACCAACTGGGATGACTTTAAAAGAGGATTGGACAAATTTGTGGAGAATAAAGGCTATTGGTTGCTGCTGGCCGTGATGGCTATGCTTGGCTCCTTGGTCAGTGGCAGTGCATTTCAGAATACCAGTTGCTGGAAAGCACAGGAGAGGAGAGAGATGTTGCACTCAGGTCCTGCTTGTGTGTTTCCCATAGACATCTGGTTGGCCACTGTGATTACAGGATGCTTTACTAGATGGGCTCAGTGGCTTGATCCAGCAGGACTCCTTTTGTGTTCTTACTTGTTGTGAAAATAAAAGAGGTGGGTGGGAAAGAGGAAGAACTATGTAGAAAGCTGTGAGGGGGTTTTTTGTTTGTTTTTTGGAGGAAAGGCAAAATATGAATGTAAAGAAAAGAATGGAACGACTTTTTAAAAAGATAGGTTGACTGAAATAGCTTGAAATTTTTGGCAAAGGCAACAGTTGTGAGTATATCTCTGTGCCACTAAAGATATGCATATTGTTGCTGTTTTCTTAGTGATGGGAGAGCACTTTAAGCACAACACAATTCGGACATATTTCCTTATTCTTTTGCATTTATGGCATAATTGATTAAACACCACACAGGGGTTATTTTTTGATCATGTTCTCAACTCTGTCTAGTGATTTGAAGCTCTGTCTAGCTTCCATTGGGAGCATTTATCCATCGACTTTGCTGGGAGTTGGATCAGATGCTTGTCAGATGGAGATTTTATTGCTGATTTTATTGTTGTTCCAGTTTCATTCGTATCTGATGTTGCCTCTTTGGAGAATTAAAATAAAATAAAATCACACTCTGAGCATTCCGCATCAGGTCACTTAGTGCCCATGCCTGCATTCCAAAGGAAAAATAGACATTCATAGCTCAGGTAAAGGTTAAATCACCTTCCCATGGTAGTCTGACTTGCTCAATCATTTTGCTTCCATTTACAATTAAAGTTTTATTTAACAGATTTGAAATTCCATGTTCTTAAGCATTAAAGTCAGACACATATATCCGCTGGGGTTTTCAGGGTTGTGTTTGTTTTTTTTGTCCCCCTTCACTATATATAACAAACAAATGTCTCTCCTTAGTTCCTTTTCTCCTTTCCTTGAGGTTGCATGTTGCTTTCAAAATTTATCTGCAATCTCTCCCTAATCCTCTTTATCTTTTTCTTCCTGCCATGTAAAAAACACTTTCTACCTGCAAAAGATCCCTAAGCCTGCAGGCATTTCTGTGAGATCAGCTGATTGCACAGCACATATACACCCCCCCCTTTGTTTCACACAGTCCTCCGACTTCCTTCCAGGCCATTCTTTGCTTCAATCTATGACTTTGCCTGATACTTAGTCAGATCACTGACCAATCTAGCTGCTTACTCTGGTTTCTATCCTCCAGTAGAGAGAAATCCTTGATTACCAGAAATCTATAATGCCCAAGGACCAAACTAGATGTAGGATCTGTCTTTGCATTCATTATTTGTTTGTTTGTTTGTTTGATTGATTGGTTCATTATTTTTAATGCTGCCTCCCAGGGCAGCAGCTCACAGGCAGGATCTCAGCAGGCAGGGATAATTTGACGCTTTCTTGTCCACCTGCAGTCCTGATGATACTACTCCTCTGAAGCTGCTATTTGCATTAGAAGAAAAGCTCCCATTTTAAATTATTTCAGCTCTCAACAGTCTCTGCCCTACTGTGACTTCTAGCTAATGATATACAGACCCCACCTTTACAACAGTTCATTCTAGATTTCTTTGAATGAATACAGTAGTGTCAAGCAGCACACAGGGGCGTTCTGAGGCGGGGATGTGTGCCATGCCCCAGGATGTGTGCCGCACCCCCCTTGGACGGAGCACCATGCCCCCTGGGATGCATGCCACGCCCCCAGGACGAGCACCACTCCGGGTACCGGAGCAGGTTGCTCCGCTTCTGGCAGCACAGAAATACCATGATCTAATCATAGAGTTGAGTTGTGGGCTGAGTGAAGCTATTAGGCATCAAATATCCATTTACAGGAAGGAATAATTGTTATTATCTCAATTGAAGGAAAGAATAGGAAAACAGTGAAGAGGAGGCATGCCTCTAATATGGGCATGCTAAAAATTCAACATTGAGGACAAAACCAGACTTTTCTGTATCCCAACATTTCATTGTTACAAAGAAGTTGCTTTCTCTCTAGTCTAAACAACAAAAATGTTCATGGTCTACAGAACACTGTAGGGAGGCTAAAACTGGACAAGCTGTAGGAGATAAAGCATTTGTATTCAATTTTGCCTAATACAGTACACACATTTTTGCAAATAATTTCCCCACAATATAATGCATGCCTGTATGTTATTTTCACTAATATATGCATTTATACCCACACTTTATGGGACGCAGGTGGTGCTGTGGGTTAAACCACAGAGCCTAGGACTTGCCAATCAGAAGGTCGGCAGTTCGAATCCCTGTGATGAGGTGAGGTCCTGTTGCTCGGTCCCTGCTCCTGCCCACCTAGCAGTTCGAAAGCACCTCAAAGTGCAAGTAGATAAATAGGTACCGCTCCGGCGGGAAGGTAAACGGCATTTCCGTGCGCTGCTCTGGTTCGCCAGAAGCGGCTTAGTCATGCTGGCCACATGACCCGGAAGCTGTACGCCGGCTCCCTTGACCAATAAAGCGAGATGAGCGCTGCAACCCCAGAGTCGGTCACGACTGGACCTAATGGTCAGGGGTCCTTTTATCTTTACCCACACTTGGCTGCAGAACTGCCTTGCCAAATTCAGAGAAATGCGAAATTTAAAGGAAGGCTGTGTTTGGGTTGGCATTTTGGAAAGTGTGAATTAGGAAAGTTTGCCTTTAAAAGTGAAATTAATCAATCCCCCCCCCCCCGCCGTACATGTGTGTATAGAATTGTAACCTGAGATACCTGCTGTTTCCAGATTGGCAGGGTTGGCAGTTGATAGTGAGGCAATGAGAAAAATAAGGTTAAGAAATAAAGCAGGGCCTCATCTTTTTTTGTTCTTACAATAAACAAAGGAATTGCTTTAAAAAACAAACAAACACCATAAGCCAAAACCTTGCACAAGGAAACAAGGAGAAGAATGAAGACAAATGTGTTCCACAATAGGTTAGCTACTGCTTCTTTCCTCCTTCTGTGTAAACTCTATAATTAAAATCCAGAATAGAGCAGTGTTGGGTGTGCAGTGGGGGTGAAAGGGCTGGGATCCTGACTTCAAAAATATTCTCTCCAGAAATAAAATTGTCCCATACTCTTTGCTACTCAAGTAGATTTATTTCCATTTCATTGTTCTTTGGTATCTTTTTGCATTGGGCCTGCCTCCTCCTCCTTCATATTGTGAGTGGGTTCATACATTTACATAACACAATAGAACAGTAAAGACTTTCCATTAGCGTCTCAGTGGCAAAATTACTTGAAAGAGGTGCAGGATGTCAGCAGTACTTTTTTATTTCTTTTGTTCTTGGTTACAGCTGATGGTTAGTGTGGATAGAGTTTGCCTATGAGCCTTGGTCTGGACAATACACTAAACAAATCTTTGGCTTAGCCAGCACAGAATAGCAGCGAAAAGGACAAGCAGGGAGCAGAGCAGCCATGAGCTCCTCCGTAGGAGTCTGTATGCTCACATCAGCTCACTAAGTCAAGGTTTGGCTTAGCTTATCATGCGAACCAAACTATAAGATTTAAAGAAAGAAGACAGCAACAAGATACGTGTGCAATAAACTAGACACCCTTTATTGAATATAGGAAGGAATATGGGTGGTCACCCAATATTAGCCATGGTTTTGTGATGTTTTGGAAGTTTGAAATGACAGGAATCTCACACAAATATTAGTGTGAACTGAGCATTTTAGATAAGTGACCGCATATGAAATGATTTGCTTGGGGCCATATTATGCATATTTTAAGTCAGCAGTGATAAGCGGCTTGCACACATATATTCACCGATTGTAAGCACTTTTGTGTTGGTGGCTGGTTCGGGAGGGCACATGAGGGCATCACCCTACCGACCTCAGCTGGCTTTCTGCAGGCTTGCCTGCTTTCTGATTGGAGGGCATACAAAGCCCAGGATTCCAGTCCTCATGGTGGCAAGGAAAGGGCGGATTTAAGAAAATCATTGTCACAAATTGTGTAACCTGATAGTGTTTCCAAGGATGGTATTTTCATGAACTTCAAGCGTAATTGTTCTGCAGAGCCAATATCTCAAACTTACAATTCCATTCCCCATTTAAAGCAGCTTTTCCCACAATGTTAGAATTCCTAGTTCAAAACTACAGAAGTGGAAAGCTCCTAAATGTCACACTCCCATTGCAACATTTTCTCTTTCAGATTGGCTATAATGGACCATTTTATAGCTATTAAAACCATGTAATCACATTGACTTCTTGGATTATCTGTGCCATAAATTTTAATCATAAGCATTCTTATGATTATCAAGACCAAGATATGGACTAAAGGCACACGAGGTTGCTACCAGGGAACTGCATTCACATCATTGTCGTGGGTTCCACAATGAAAGATAGGTGGGATAGAAATATAAACAGTGCTTCATCGGGAATGAGTTTACCTCAATATGCCATTAAGATTTGTTTTGCTTTTTTCCCTAATCATATAGTAACAAGAAAATACCGTATTTTTTGCTCTATAAGACTCTCTATTTCCCTCCTAAAAAGTAAGGGGAAATGTGTGTGCGTCTTATGGCGTGAATGCAGGCTGCGCAGCTATCCCAGAAGCCAGAACAGCAAGAGGGATCACTGCTTTTGCTGCGCAGCGATCCCTCTTGCTGTTCTGGCTTCTGGGATTCACAATTTTTTTTCTTGTTTTCCTTCTCCAAAAACTAGGTGCGTCTTATGGTCTGGTGCGTCTTATAGAGCGAAAAATATGGTACTTTGCCACCTACTATCATTCTATTTTTTTAGAGTATGGATCTAGATTTCAGAATTTTACACACTCAGTTCCAAAATCAAATACCATGAATTCTGCTGTCAGAAAGAATTGCAAAGATTGTGGCTACCATTGCTTAATCTTCCTACTTGATTAAATGTATGAATGCTATATTTGAGCAGAATCAGGATTTATTTGTAAAAAGCTGTGGTGGTTGCAAAAGAGATCCTATGGGCACCAGATCAGAAGGGGACAGTGGGTGTTTGGTAACTGTTTGAAAGGGGAGCATAGGAACATAGGAAGCTGTCTGATAAAAACCAGACCATTGGTCCTCCTACCTCAGTACTGTCAACATGGATGGTAGAATTTCCACCCTGCCTGAAAGTGCCCTGGACTTCTCCTTTCAGGTCTTTTAACCAATGTTGCTCTCAGGCTGCTTAGCCTTTCCCCATAAGTGCCAGAAACTCACTCTTTCTTACCCAAAAGCTGTGATTCTCCAATATTTGCATATTATCTTTAAACAGCCAGATTACATGCTATGCAGCATGACCACAGTTATTCATATATCTCGATCCCCTGGTGCCTGACTAACAAAACAATAGTGTTCGTTCATCTTTGCAATTCTCAGGAACCTTGAACAAATTTCTTCATTTATTTCCTTTTAGTTACTTTGTGAGTGAAAAACAAACAAACAAACACAAAAACCCAAGTATTAGCCTTCCCGATTTCAAGCTGTAAAACATCTAACTTTTTGTAGTCAAGAATGCATAGTTCCATTGCAAGGACTCGAAGTTTCCACCTTTACTCCGTTATAAATTTGAGCCTACAATTCCCATTGCCTCTGACTATTGGCTATTCTGGCTGGGGTTGATGGACATTGGACTCCAACAATATCTGGATCACCCCAGGTTTCTCATCCCTCCTTAGCCTTGGTTAAATAAAGCTAATCGTCTTAACAGCAGGAGTGTCCTGGACAGCTCATCATATAATAATAGTATATGCCAGGCCAAATGATGTCGTGAGCTCAAACCATAAATCTAAGAAAGGAGAACTACTGAGTTAGTGAGCACCCAAGAGATCATTCAGACCAACCCCAATCACTTAGCACTATATTCCAGGTAGAGATAAGAGTGCAGTCAAGTGTTCCGTACATTTTCCAGCCAGCTCAGTGCTCATTTGCCTTACAAACCGGGAAGCGAATTTCCTTCCTTCCTTCCCATTTTAACCCTCCTTATCCATTCTAATGGAGCTAGGCATTTTGCACCAAAAAGCATCTCAGTAATTGAATAACTTTCATGGCTTTGCAGAAATTTTAATGTATCCCTTAATTACAGAGGATCAATAAAGCAACTGCAGGACATTTTTCTTCTCCTCGTTCTTCACGCAGGCCTCACTTGTCGTCCCCTCCCTGGGCCCCCAGCCTCCGTCTGAGTATAGGATGCTCTTATTCTCATTTGCGAGATTGACACTCTGTCATTGCCGTTTCTCTTCTAGAATTTGGCAAGAATGGCTTCCTGCTGGGCCAAGAGAGAAGCTGCTCTGCAGAGGAGTAACCTCACGCCATTTCTTGGCTTGCTTTCAGCAACTGTGCATCATTTTGCCAGAAACACTGAGTATATTTTAGTGCACAGGAGAGGCTGGGGCAGATAAGCCTGGACCATGGCTAACACCTCCCCCATCTCTCTCTCCCAGGTCCATCAGAATCACAACTCCTTGCACACGCAGACACCCACACAAAGATTAACTAATTTTTTAACCTCGTTACATGAAATTAACCTGAATTTCACACATTCTTGCAAAATAAGTTCTTTAGTAAGCCTGCTGGCCTTTACCTTGTGGCTATATTATAATTATCCTGCCCTAGAAAAACTAAAAGAGAGAAAGAGAGAGAATGACAAGGAAGATATTGGAGAGGGAAAGGGAGAATGCAGGTGGGGAGGGGGACAAATATCATGATTCTCAGATTAGAAATTCTTGGGTGGAAGGGAGGGGGGCAAATATCATGCCTTTAAATATGTCTGGAATACACCCAGTTCAATGTGGGCACAGCTGGAGCCAAATAATCAATTTAATGCAAAGGCTAACAAAAGGAAAAGAATTATATTTTTTTTGAGGAGGATTTATCTACACACAGGTTAATGAATTCACATTAGTTAATATTATTTAACCAACCAGTATTAAGCCCCTATACACTCATTATCACTAAAAAGTGCCTTCTCATAGAGATCATTACACTTTGGGGATTAAAGTTAAAGCTAACATGGAAAGGGGACATTGAATTCCTAATAAGGATGTCTGTGGAACTTAAATTGAACAGAGGAAAATGGCTCCCAAAAGGAAGCATGGAAAAAAAGAGGCTACTTCCAGATGACCTGTTTATTCAGCGTTCATCCTGATTTGTTTCCACAAAAATTTGTGGGGAAGTTACACAACATCAGCTGATTATTGAGCATTAATTATGATTTGTTTGCAGGGAGCTTATAATGCACTGCCTCATGCAACTGTTACTCTGTACTATCCAACCCACTTTGGTAGAGTAAGAGTAGACTAAAACGTTTGGTTTTTCTCACTGCCTCTTAATCCACATGGAGAAGATTTGTGGTTCTGCTCATGGTGCACATAGGTGTTACAAGTGTGTCTCTATATCCACTTGGAGGTGATGGGACTTTCAATAAAGAGAGCAAGGAAGAACATAAGAATTAAGCTGAATGCCCATCTAGTCCAGCACCTTGTTTTCCCCATAGCCAACCATATCCCTAAGGGAGGCCTGCAAACAGCACTCTCCCTACTTTGGATTCCAGTCCTAGCAACCAGTATACAGAGGCATACTGTCTCTGACAATGAAGTTAGAACATAGCCATTGTGACTAGCAGCCTTATCCTCCAAATAGTTGTCTAATTCTCTCTAGTTGATGGTCGCCACTGCATCTTGTGAGAGCAAATGCCATAGTTTAGCTATGCCCTGTGTGAAGATGTACTTCATTTTGTCTTCCTTGAATCTTCCCAACATTCAGGTTCATTGGATGGCGCTGGATTCTAGTATTATGAGAGAGGCCTATCCAATTTCCCCACCCCAATGCTAGATATTTGCCTGAAGGGCCGAAAATATACTTTACTGCAGGTTTTGCGGGCAGCAGGCGAGGACTGTTTCACCCTGATAAGAAGAGAAGTGGGAAGATCCTGTTTCCAGACTTTGCATCCTTTCAGCTCTGACAGGCATTTCACACATTTTCTTTTTAACTCACAGTCAATGCACATGATTGCTCTGCTTGTACCATCTACTTTTTCACCTGTCTAGTGGAATCTGTCTGTTATGAGCAGGGATGACTGCTTGAGGTATCCCATTATACATCACGGAAGGCTTGATTCTCTCTGCTATATGCTGTGCTCATTTACCTCCTGCACTGGTAGATTAAAGATAAGGTGTGTGGGGGGGGATACAATTATCTTGTGATCTGTTTATCAAGAGCTCAAAATGAGCTTCATTAGCATGTTCATATCTGCCATTTACATGCATGTGCATTAAAGCCAAGATGCACCCACCCTCCACTGGGAGATTTCACGTCTAAAGACGCTGAGCTGAACCTGGAAAAATTACAAGTCTAGTAACAACTCACAACTCTAGTAAGGCAGCCCCTAAAGCCAAAAACTGGGACAACTGGAGTCAATTTAAGGAGTCTGCTCATTCCACATTCCTTTTGGAGTTCTTCCTCATTGAGCTACTAGTCACTTACTTTTGATGAGCTGTGAATTAGGTCCCACATTGTTGTGATAGAGGCACCAATAGACAAGAGTACACGGCCCAGGCCTCTCCTCACTGGTGCTCCTCCAAACTTGCTCTTTTCAGTTAAGGACTCCCCTCTTCTCACTAAACCATTTAAGAGGAGTAGAAGCAGATGAACCATGTCATGGTCTGGACTTCATAAACATCTCAGCCACTTGAGCCAACATTCTGGTCTGTTGTAAGCCACTTCTCATTAACTATTATTGGCAAAAAAAAATGATGCAATATGTTTAAATTTTGGCCAGAACCTCATGCACTTTGAAAAGGCTTAACATTCTGTGCATGCTTAATAAACATCAAAATAATAACAGAGACCTCTAGGTAATAACATTGAAACTGGAGAAATTATTTTTACCTCATGTTCTTTGCAAGTTACTATCCAGGATTGCTAACATAATGGCTTTTATTTGATTTATTTATTCTCAGCCTTATCTGGGCATTAGAGAACAGATAGAACCAGTTATGTTTTTATTTGTCTGCTTCTCATTTGCTACATGGTCTCTGATGAGCTAAATATCCCTGAGCCCCCAGACATTTCTCTGGGCAGCGCCCACCTATTTGCAACTAAATTATGAGAACTTCATTTTAGAGCAGCAGATCCAGCTGGAAACTCTCAGCTCATACATATTAGATCTTTTTTTAATTTTATTCTCCCTTCCCCAAGTGGAAGGAAGTTCAGAATTGGTTTTGCTTGACTAATTTCCATCGAAAGAGTGGAGACTTGCAGTGGTGTTTTCTGAGCCAATGGACACATTTCAAATGTTGAGAAAGTGGACTTCCAGAGGCGGCGCCATCGGCAATGGCGGATTCCCTCTAGTCTCGAGGGAATAGCTCCGCGGAAATCGGGTCTTGCCGCTACGGTGAAGCGGGGACCCCTCCGAAAATCACAGGCAGGTGAAGCCTGTGACCGTGGGACTCGGCGGGCACCCTTAGCGCCCCCCCAATTTGCGAGGGAACCCTGGAAAGAGTTCCGGAGCGGAGCGGGGAGTCTGGCGCGGTGCTGAGAGTCAACTGCTTCTTCCGTGGAGTGAAGCCGCGCAGCTGTTGCCGGAGAGCGCCGACCTTTTTCCTGTGACAATTCGGCTAAGAAACAACTACCCGTGAGTAGGTTAAGTCCGAGGATCCGGGAACTTAAGGAAAAAAGGGCTAATTTGGCACCGAAGCGGGAAGGTGTAAACAGGAAGTCCGCCTTCCTTTTATGTAAATAGATCAAAGCAAAGACTGTCAAAGCAAAGAGCTTGAAACTGCGTTGAAAAAGACTTAAATCCCGCATCAATAAAAAGAGAACTCCCTCCCTTCGGTGCGGGGAGAGGGGAGGGAGAAGGGGAAGTATTTGTTGCCCGCAAAAGAAGAGAGAAAGTGAACTAAGACCATCACTTAATGCCTGGGAACGGACTGTCAAGGGACATTGAAATTGCCGTATTGGGAAACGAGCTGTCAAAAGATAATGCAACTTTTTGACAGTTAGCTCTGCAAGAGGGATACTTTGATTCTGAAAAGCTTCACTGGATTTGAAACTGTTGCCTTTTTCGACTAAAGGGGGGATCTTTGAGAGTTGGAATAGCTATTTTATTGCTATAATTTGGAACTGCTACTGTGTCCCCCTAGAGGAATTTGAAATTGCTACAACTGGCCAGGGAATTTTCCACTTTAAATTGGCTATACTAAAGGGGAATTTTCCACCATAAACCAGCTTGTGGGACCGACCTTGATTCTTAGATAAAGTGTTATGGCAGACTCAACTCAGGAAAAAACATCAAGATCTGGTAAAATTAGACAGCAGCAGTGTAGACCGTCAGCACCCAGCCTTCCTGCCCCACCAGGGGAAGACTCAGCCCAGGTGGCCTCTAAAGGAATGGCAGCTGAAGGGGGCTTATCTTCAGCCTTAGATAAAATTTTTGAATCTTTGGAAAAGTTGAGTAAACAAGTGGCTGAAGCGACAACTAAAATTGATCAAAATACAACAAGCATCAACAACTTGGGGCAGAAGGTGAACTCAAATACAGAATCTATTGAGAAACTGCTGCAGGAATCTGCTTTGAATCGAAAAACAGCTGAAGAGGCCAAGCAAAAAGCATTGGCTGTAGAGGAAAAGATAGAGGAAAAGATTCCACCGATATGTAGGCAGCTGGAGGATCATAAGTCATCACTGTCTATGATCGAATTGAAAGAAAAACAGACAAATCTAAGGATCAGGGCGGTACCTGAACTTGAGAAAGATAACCTGAGTGACTTTCTTACGCAGGAATTTGCTGACTTTTGGGACCTAGAGCCAGACAAGTTAGACTTCAAGATACTAAGTGCCTTTAGACTTGGAAGAGGGGGGAGAAAGAACAGGGTGAGAGACTGTTTGATTACCCTCCGATCAAGAGAGGAGAGAGACAGAATATTGAGCTTGCACTTCCAGAAGACCTTGGAAATAAAGGAATCAAAAGTGGAGATATTTAAGGACATCCCTAAACATCTTTTGGATCTCAGGTCTAACTACGGACACTTGGTGGCCCTGCTAAGAGCAAACAGAATCATCTTCAGGTGGGAATTCCCTCAAGGCCTATCTTTTACTTTTAAAGGGAAAAAGTTTAAAATAAGATCAGTGGAACATAAAGAAACATTTCTGAAAGATTACGAAGAAGATCTGCAAAAAGAAACTGAAAAAGAGCCAAGAGCTTTAAAACCAGGAATACAGGACATAGTATCACTGCCTTTGGGACTGGATAAGTTAGAGAAGGCGATACCACCAACAGAACAAGAACAATTACTTGGTGCAGTTGGAGGAAAAGTAAAATAAATACACCATGTCCCTGCAACTATTAAGTTGGAATATTCATGGACTTAATTCCCCGGAGAAAAGGAAAAAAGTCTTTCATTTATTGAAAAAGGAACAATTGGACTTGATTTGTTTGCAGGAAACACATGTGATAAGGCTCCATAGGAAAGTATTGATTAATAAAAGATTGGGCCAGGAGTTTATTTCATCGGACAAAGTCAAAAAGAGAGGAGTTGTAATTTACGCGAAAGAGAGCCTATCACCCAAATTTATTTTTAAAGATGATCAAGGAAGATATGTGGCAATTGAAATTCAAACACAAGGAGAAAAATTTCTGATAATAGGAGTATATGCTCCAAATGAGGGGAAATCTGAATTTTTTAAGAAGTTGCATGAGACATTGCTGGACTATATGGATTACAACATTATAATGATGGGAGACATGAATGGAGTGGTATCCACAAACATGGACAAGTCGCAGAGACAGGTAGTTACCAAAGATGGCAGACTACCAAAAACCTTTTTTGAGATGACTGACAATATGGACTTGATTGACATTTGGAGAATAAAGAACCCCCTGGCTAGGGAGGGAACCTTTTTCTCTGAAGCCAAAATGACATGGACAAGAATTGACCAAATTTGGATTGCTAGAGGACTGGCACCTAAAACTCGAAAAGTGGAAATTTGCCCTAAAACCTGCTCCGACCATAATGCTGTGAAAATGGAGATGAAATTAACACCTATCGGCTCCTTCAGATGGAGGATGAATGACACCCTGTTTAGAGATCAAGAAGTTACCAAGAAGGCCCAAAAAACCTTGAGAGACTACTTTGAGATAAATATGAACACTACCATTGAAAAAAGAGTAATCTGGGACGCAAGTAAGGCAGTTATGAGAGGGTTTCTAATTCAACAGAATGCAATAAAGAAGAGAACCCAAAATGAGAAAAAAGACAAAATTTTGGAAAAAATATAAGAGGTGGAGAAGAAACTGAGAGCGAAACCAAAATCACAAGAGATTCTGAGAGAAATAAAGTTATACCAAGTTCAATATATGAAGATGATGAATCAGGAAATAGAATGGAAAATTAAACAGATGAAACAAAGGACATTTGAATCGGCTAATAAATGTGGAAAACTGCTAGCTTGGCAAATGAAAAAAGACAAAAACTTAACACCATTACCAACTTGGAAGTGGAAGGAAAGAACATCCAGAATCCAGTGGAAATTAGAAAATGCTTCCAGAGGTACTTTAAACAGCTATACACACAAGGGCCACAGAAAGAGTGCGATTTAGACAAATTTTTAAAAACAAATGGACTTCAAAAAATCTCCCAAGAAAATAAGTTAATGTTGAACTATAAAATAACAGAACAGGAGGTGGAAGGTGCCATCCAGAACATGCAGTTGGGCAAATCTCCAGGGCCAGATGGTTTAACCTCCAAATACTATAGATCTTTGAAGGACTGGATAATTCAACCACTAAAGGAGGTTTGTAATGAAATCCTGGAGGGGAAAAAAGCGCCAGAGTCGTGGAAAGAAGCTTATATTACACTAATACCGAAAAATGAGACTGAAAAGACGCAACTTAAGAACTACCGCCCCATATCCCTGCTCAATGTGGATTATAAAATTTTTGCAGATATTTTGGCTAAAAGGTTAAAAAAAGTATTAGTAGAAGAGATCCATAAAGACCAAGCCGGCTTTCTCCCAGGTAGACACTTGTCTGACAACACGAGGAATATAATTGACATCTTGGAGATGTTGCAAGTGAATATCAATACCAAAGCCGTTTTAATTTTTGTTGATGTGGAGAAAGGCTTTGATAATATTTCTTGGAGTTTCATGAAGAAAAATCTTCAGGGGATGGGGGTTGGTCAAGGGTTTGAAAATGGTATAAGTGCAATATATTCAGAACAAAAAGCTAAGCTAATAGTTAATAATGTGGTAACAGAGGAATTTAAGATAGAGAAAGGGACACGACAAGGCTGCCCAATTTCCCCACTGCTTTTTATTTGGGTCCTGGAGGTTTTGCTAAATATGATTAGAAGGGACCGCTTGATTAAAGGTATACAGGTCGGAGTTAAACAGTACAAACTGGAAGCTTTTGCAGATGATTTAGTATTGACGTTACAGGAGCCAGAATCTAGTACTAAAAGAGTTTTAGAATTGATTCAGGAATTTGGTCATGTGGCAGGATTTAAGCTGAACAAGTTAAAAACTAAGGTGCTTGAGAAAAATTTAACACCGATTGAGAAAGAGAGGTTTCAGAAGGAGACAGGTTTAACATTGGTTAAGAAAGTAAAATACTTGGGGGTTAACATGACTGCTAAGAACTTAAACCTATTTAAAGACAATTATGAGAAATGTTGGTCAGAAGTGAAAAAGGATTTAGAGATATGGTCAAACTGGAAGCTTTCCTTGCTAGGTCGAATTGCTGTTATAAAGATGAATGTATTGCCAAGAATGTTATTCTTGTTTCAATCATTGCAAATTGTGGACAAAATGGACTGTCTCAAGAAGTGGCAGAGAGACATTTCTAAATTTGTCTGGCAGGGCAAAAGCCCAGAATAAAATTTAAAATATTAACCGATGCAAAGGATAGAGGTGGATTTGCCCTGCCAGACCTCAAACTTTATTATGAATCAGCAGCATTCTGCTGGTTGAAAGAATGGCTGCTTCTTGAGAACACAGACATTTTGGATTTAGAAGGTTTCAACAATGTTTTTGGGTGGCACGCATATTTGTGGTATGACAAGGTCAAAGCACATAAAGCATTTAAAAACCATATTGTCAGGAAAGCATTGTTAAATGTCTGGATAAGATATAAGGATTTATTGGAAAATAAAACCCCTAGGTGGCTGTCACCGATGGAAGCAAAGCCTCAGAAAAGGCTCAATATGGAGGCCAAATGGCCAAAATATTGGGAAATTTTGGAACAAGAAGGAGACAAATTGAAATTGCAGAGTTTTGAAAAATTAAAAGATAAAGTGCGAGACTGGCTTCATTATTATCAGATAATGGAGGCATATAATTTGGATAAGAAAATTGGCTTCCAGGTGGAAAAATCAAAATTGGAAACAGAATTGTTAGAACCCAATACTAAGATTTTGTCAAAAATGTATAACTTGTTGTTGAAATGGAATACTCAGGATGAAACCGTGAAATCTGCTATGATTAAATGGGCACAAGATCTAGGATATAACATTATGTTTGCTGACTGGGAACAGTTGTGGACCACAGGCATGAAATTTACGGCATGTAATGCCCTAAGAGAGAATATTATGAAAATGATATACAGGTGGTACATGACACCAGTCAAGCTTGCAAAAATTTACCATGCGCCCGATAATAAATGTTGGAAATGTAAAGAAAATGAAGGTACTTTCTTTCACCTTTGGTGGACGTGCCCAAAGATTAAGGCTTTCTGGGAGATGATATATAATGAATTGAAAAGGTATTTAAATATACCTTCTTGAAGAAACCAGAGGCCTTTCTCCTGGGCATAGTCGGCCAATTGGTGCCAAAGAGGGACAGAACTTTCTTTATGTATGCCACAACAGCAGCAAGAATACTCATTGCAAAGTATTGGAAGACACAAGATCTACCCACCTTGGAAGAATGGCAGATGAAGATGATGGACTATATGGAATTGGCGGAAATGACTAGCAGAATCCGAGACCAGGGAGAAGAGTCGACGGAGGAAGATTGGAAGAAGTTTAAAGACTATCTACAGAAATATTGTAAAATTAATGAATGCTAGAATGATGTTGGATAGAAACTAAGTGAACTTTAGCTGAAAGGTTACAAGGAATATGAAAAAATGGATTATTAATATGTAAAAATCTAAAATTACAATACTTTATGATTAATGATTAGGATACATAAAGAGGGGAGGGATTTGTTGAACTAATAACTGAACTGGAATACAAAAAAGGGAGGTGTGAGGAGGTCCTGGAAATAAGCAAATGAAGGCTAAGCAATGGAAGGAATGAATTGTTTTTAACTATTTTTACTTTGTATTTTCTCTTTTTTCTTTTTCTTTTTGTTTTGTAATACTCTGAAAATCTTAATAA